CTTGCACTATTCCATCGTAATTATCTACCTGAAGCTTTGGTATCGTCTGCTCAATTCTCATGATGTTGTGTGATTACTAGTAGCCATCCAAATGGACTCCTATATATAGTACCTCCCGCTCTATTCGTAATAAGAGTATATAATGATTGTGCACTCCACCATGACACGTACTTTCCAGCAGACACCGATCGTGCGAGGTCGCGGCCTCATTTCCAACGTAATAGAAAATCTCCCTTTCGAAGCCCACATCCCAGGTTACAATTTCTGTGGCCCGTCAACCAAACTGCAAAAACGTCTTCAACGAGGAGATGTTGGTATAAATCCACTTGACGAATTTTGCAAACAACACGACATTTTCTATTCTCAGCAGAAAGATCTCACTGCGCGTCAACAAGCGGACAAACTTTTGGCTGATCAAGCTATACAGCGAGCCTTCGCATCCGACAGCTCTTTTGGAGAACGAATGGCAGCTTTGGGAGTTGCTGGAGCAATGAAAGCTAAAAAAAAGATGGGTTTTGGCCTGCGAAAACATCGTACACAACAAAGAAAGAAACGTTTGAACAAGATGGGAAAGGGTTTGCGAAAAAAATCACCAAAATCGCAAAGTTCCAAGCGACGTTTGCGGATTCTGCCTCTACCGAAAACAGGTGGCTTTCTACCTTTACTTCTACCTATACTCGGGGCTCTTGGAGCTCTTGGAGGTGGCGCTGCCTCCATTGCAAAAGCTGTCAATGATGCTAAAGCCAATCAGTCACAACTTGCGGAACAGAAGCGTCATAACTTGGCTTTAGAAGCCTCTCGCAAGGTTTCTCCCACGGGAAAGGGGTTTTTTTTAGCACCGTACAAAAAAAACTGCTAAGGCACCTACCATCCCATGCGCTTTCCGATATTGAACTACTTTACTTTGCAAAACAACTTAACATTCCTTTTTTTCGAGGAGTATTCATGAAAGATCAATTACCAAAGGGTATACAGACTTGTGAAAGTGGAATTGTTAATTTGGATGACTCGTCTGGCGACGGGACTCATTGGGTTGCATACGTGAAAAATGGCAATCTTGTCTCATACTTTGATTCATATGGGAATCTGCGCCCTCCACTGCAGCTGATAAGATATTTTGGTAGCAGTGATAAAAATGTTCGCATTGTATACAATTATACTCCAATACAGAAGTTTAATGCTCACAATTGTGGACAGCTATGCTTACAATTTCTATATATTTCTTACTGTTACTCCTAATACAGAAGTTGCAATTCAAACGTTCTACAGTAATGACGTCCCTCACATTTACGCTGGCGGGAACTTCTTCCACTCTCCAATCACATTTTAATCCCCCGCTATATCTTGATGATAATGTGGACTATGAAATCGGGTTGTGCAACTTTGAATCCTTCAATGTTATTCCCAATATAGACGAAACTAATAATAAGTTTCCATGTGACAATGAACTACTTACATTTCCTACAGGCGCATATGAAATTCGAGATATTATTGATTATTTAGATCAAAATCTCCCAGAAGGGAAAATTATTAGCATTACACCTCATATGAATTCCACAACAGTTTCTCTCAAAGCCAATTTTACGATTGATTTTTCACAGAATGGTACCATTGCATCCCTTCTCGGATTTAAACCTCGACGTCTTGACCCAATCATTAGACATACGTCTGATTTTCCTGTGCAAATTTTGAAAGTGAATTCAATATGTGTTGCTTGCAATGTAGCCACAGGCTCATATTCCAACGGTGTGCCAAGCCACATCATCCATCAATTTTTTCCCTCAGTTTCGCCCGGGTATAAAATCGTTGAATCACCTCAAAATATTTTATATTTCCCAGTGAGTGTTAAAGCAATCACAACCATTACCGTCAACATTGTTGATCAAGACGGTCACATAATTAATTTTCGTAACGAGACCATTACACTTCGACTTCATTTACGATCCGGTAACAATGGGCATTAGATATTACGCGCCTCCGATCTCTTTTCCCTATAAAAAGCGAGGTCAGTCGAAACCATCTATTAGTGGTAAGCCGTCCCGCATACGCAGAAGATCATTTCGACAACAATCAACATTGCAACTTACTAACGATAATAGAAAATTTTTGGAAAATCTAGGTTTTCACGTGTTGTAGGATGAGTATTCTCAACGTTACACAAAAACCTCTTGTTGATAATTCTATTACAGAACTAGAGTATCACACTTATCAACCTTTTATCAATTCCAACTTTGACTACAACGATGAAATTCGCATTGCTGTTCAAGAACTAGATGCCTATACCCTCCCGTCACAAAGTCTTTTGTATCTCGAAGGAGAATTAACCAAAGCCGATGGAACTGCTGTTACGACTAAAAACGCTGATGGAACTACTGTTAAAACTCTGCAATTAATCAATAACGCTTTTGCTTTTCTGTTCCGTGAGCTCCGTTATGAACTGAACGGAGTTGTAGTCGATTCCGTTCGAAATGTTGGTCTTACCTCCACCCTTAAAGGGTATCTGTCTTTTAATGAAAATGAGAGTTCACGCTTGCAAAATGCTGGCTGGTTCCCAAAAGACACTTTTATTTCTGAGTCTGGCAAGTTCAATGTTTGTATTCCTTTAAGCATGTGGATGGGATTCTTTGAAGACTATCGAAAAATTCTCATCAATATGAAACAGGAGTTAGTATTAATCCGTAGTAGTCATGACCTTGATGCTGTTGTAGCAACTACTACATCCGAAAAACCAAAAATTCGGATTGATAAGATTCAGTGGAGAGTACCCCACGTATCTGTTGACATTCCTCAGCAACTAGCTCTTACAAAAATTCTCAACAAAAACATGGAAATTCCACTATATTTTCGCAGTTGGGAACTAGTAGAGTATCCATCACTCCCTGAAACAATGCGTCACACCTGGCCAGTCAAAACTACAACGAAGCTCGAGACCCCTAGACATGTTATCCTAGCCTTTCAAACTAATAAAAAACAAGTATCTACCTCCAATATGTCACAATTTGATCATTGCAAGTTGACCAATATTCGGGTTTTCCTCAACTCCGACCGCTTCCCATATAATGATCTCTTTTTGGATTTTAAAAACCAAAAATTTGCTCTCTTGTATGAAATGTACTCAAAATTCCGCTCCTCCTATTATGAGAGTGAAAATGAACCTCTGTTTTCCCCAAAAGATTTCCTTTCTATTGCCCCTATCACACATATTGATTGCTCTAAACAGAAGGAAAGTATCCAATCTGGATCAGTGGTTATGCGAATTGAATTTGAGACAAGTGAAAATGTTCCTCCGGAAACATCTGCTTACTGTCTCATCCTACACGATCGCGTTTTCACCTACAACCCTTTAACCAAAATTGTTAAACAGCGATAGAGCTTAATCAATCATGATCAATCACAATATAAATATCTTTGTTCAGACTAAATCTCCTTCATTCTCATTATGACATCATCCTACAGACAAGCTCTCAGAGAGTATTATCAGAAATTGCAAAGTTTGAAAGAAGCACTCAATTCCTATTGTCAAAGACGCATTCTATATACAAAATTCTCCAACTTACAAATATGAGTGTCGTTTTGGATGTTCAAGGATTTAAAATTGAAAATAATAAATTTCTCGCAAAAGAATTTTGCGCCTATGATGGTGTTAGGTTATGTCATTATATTTTCAAAGCTCCTTTTCCTTGGGATCTGCTGCCACCACCGTTGCAGATTCAGGCGAAGTGGTTGACCGATAATTACCATGGTATCTCCTGGAATTCAGGGTTTACACCCCTACATAAGTTTGGAAACATTATTAAACATATTGCGGATGGGGCAGACAGAATTTATGTGAAAGGACGTGAAAAAGCAGCCTACCTGAGAAACTTCACCAGCAAACCAATAATCGAGCTTGAAGAGCAGCCCCGCCTCACCCCTTCACCGGCGAAGTGTTTTTACCATACAACAGATATTTGCATGTGTGCGATGTCTAACGTTTTTTATTTGTATGAAAATTTCATCATGTCATAATTTTTGTCAATAAACATATGTTTCTTCATTTAATGTATTTTTTAGCCCTTCCTCCCACATAACACTACACAATATTCCTATCTTACAATCTTTATTATTTTATAAATACATCAAAGCGTTGCTTCTTCCCCTCTATTTTTACATTACATTACATACTCGCAATTTTACTAAACCTACTTCTTACTACTTTTATACATATCACAGACATACCTAAACTTTAATAATTTACACTTTAAACCTTTCTGTAAACACTGTTTGCCTATAATCTACTGTCAAGTATTTTTTTAACACTTCTTCGACTAGTTGCACTCGCCTTTGAAACCTACATCTATCTGCCATCTCCCCGTTACTTCTTCGAGCTTCTCTATATGCATATTGCCATGCATACATGCTATGTATTTTGTTTTTTGTTTCGTTGAAGGATACGGTCTTTGGAATAATACTTATATGTTCACCTTCATTGCACATGTTACTTTTGCTGGTGCACTTTTTAGTCACCCCACTACTTTTTCCTTCTACCAACATTGTCTCCACTCTCTTAAACCTTGCTTCCGTTTGCCAACAATACCTCCACCCTCTGAAACCCTGCTTCCTTCACTGCTGCACCTGTCGCAATCTCCTTCTCTCCTGTATAATCCATCTTAGTCTCGCACCACGACCCATGCCTGGAGGTATACTTCTCTGCATGGGCACCTGAATCAACTGATCCGAATTAGAACCTGCTTCATCATCCCAATTCTCTTCCACTGCCACTTCCGGCGACGGATTCCTGACTCCATATCGGCTAACCGGTGTGGTGTCCATGGGTGTTCGGGACCCAGATGGAGGATGCTGCGGTGTGGTGTTCATAGGTGTTCTGGACTCAGATGGTTGATGCGGCGGTGTGGTGTCCATATGCGTTGGGTCGTCCCAATTTTCTTCTTCAGGATGTATTCTGTTGAATGGGCGTATAACCGCCACCGGCTTCCCCTCCCACACCGTCGGCAACTTAAATGTTTATCTTGCACTCATTGTTTGATTCGTGCTGTCTGCTAACAACTGCCTCCTCTCCCAGCGCTGCACTAATTTAAACACATATTTCCAAGGTCATACCGTCTACCACTCACGACTTCAAGGTCACATTTCAAGGTCATATTTCAAGTTTATATTTCAAGGCCATATTTCGATTCAAGGTCACATTTCAAGGCTATATTTCAAGGTTGCATTTCAAGGTCATATTTCAAGGCCATGTTTCAAGGTTACATTTCAAGGTCACATTTCGAGGTTAAATATGCGTTCAAGGTTGGCTCCCAAGGTCGACTCTCAAGGGCGTTCTAGAACATACAAACCCTACCTACTCATTATTATGATATGAATCCCATCATTTCTGAAATTGAAAATATATCGATTTCCTCACGTATAGCAGAAATCATTTCTTCAAATTTAAATGTTACTACATATTTATCCAATTATTTCAGAACATTAAAATTTGTTCAGGGCCAGGTAGAACAAAAGTTACATAATATATTCCCCAATACAAAGCGAGGAAAAAGAGGTATACTAAATGGCATTGGGTCGATATTCAAATCAATAACTGGAAACCTTAACGCCAATGATGGCGAACGTTTCGAAAATCTAATTCGAGAGCTTCGAAATAATCAAAGAGAATTGACTAACAGTGTCACACAGAGTAATGCCCTGTCAGTGTCTCTTATTGATAAGTTAAATAAAACTGTTCAGCAAGTCTATCATAATGAACAATTGCTGAATAATAAAATTAATACCATATATACAATTGTTCATCGTACTACAATCGATTCAGATCAGCATAAATCCATAGTAGACACAGTATCTCAAATTATGAACAGCTACGAAGTAACTCTGTCAATATTACAAGACTTGAATATTCAATAATTTTTGCACGTATTGGAACAATTCACTCTAGCCTTATTACAACCGAAGGAATTTTTGAAGAACTGGGACTTTTGAGTACAAGATTGGGCCAGGAAAAATTTGCGATCCCAGTTTTACTAGATAACATACCAACTTTTGAAAAAATAATCAAAATCTCCAGTTATTCTGTGGGCAACAAAATTTCATTTGTTTTATCACTCCCAATCTCATACTATGAGTCATTTAGTTTATATCGTCTCTTTCCAATCTCGATATATTTTGAAGGTCAATTTAAGACTATCATTCCAAAAGAGCCTTATTTGGCAAAAAATGAATTGCACTTTGCACTTTTCGGCGACATTTTTACTGAAATTACCCCTAAAAAGTTTCTCTGCGAGAATACCAACTTGCAAGACACCAATGGTCCGTTACCCTGTGAACTTGAACTGTTTAATGGAAGAAACGCCCGAACTCCACTGATAATCAATCAGCCAAGTATCGAACGAATCCAACGGACTAATCAATGGGTATTGATCCTGCCACTACCAGAAGTTGTCAAAATGGAATGCCACGAAGATATGCAACTGAAAACATTAACGGGAACTTACCTACTTCATATTCCTGTCAACTGTCAAGCCGAAATCAATCATCAAATCATCAAAAATGAACTCGAAACGATTGTCGCGGGCCAATCTATAATATTCCCAGATTTAAACCTGGACACTAAAGGTGACATCACAGAAACAAATTTCAGTCTGCATCTAGAAAAAATTAAGCTGGACGAGTTAAGTAAAATCAAGATAAGCATTATCAACAACAAACCCAACTTCAAGAAACCTGCAGAGTTTTTTATACCCAGTGCCTGGACACTGATAATATATGGATGTATATTACTCTTGGGTGTCTACGCATTCTGGAAATCCATATTGAACAGGAGGAAGCTCAGAAATAGAAGTATTCAGCAACCAGAAGTCGAACTTCATCCTATTCAACTTCCGTGAAGAATTTTTCCCCGAAGTTGAATCTCAGGAATACTGCCGACGATGCTACTAAATTGTACTGTTAACAGCATAATAACTTTGTAATAATTTTGAGTTTTGTATTTTCGAAAATAAACTTTTGTAAAAAGCGATCTCGAGGCATCGATCTTATAACTCATGTTTACTTTCATATCAAAAATCCCGAATGGTTTTGAGCAAATATCAATCTGAGTTGCCATATGATACTGATGAGCGCCAAGTGAATGAATGGATGTTTGGAAAAGAGCAATATCTATGAAATTTTTGGTAGAGACTTTGTCACCAAGTGGCTATCTGCAGGAGGCTTATAGGAAAAACACACGGTAGCTGATGTGAAATCAGTAAAATCGCATATCAGTTGAAGAAAATAATATAAACGTGAATAAACAATCAATAATAGTGAAGAAACATGAATTTTATTATATTTTATTTATTACATATCTTTTAAAATTTGGACTGAATTGTATGTAATTTCTAAATTTTCAATAAGCTGGTGATCTTTCAATGATAAGCTGTAATCTCATATTTTGACAATATGTTCTTTTCAATATTTCATAGCTATTGGCTGCTAAAATTTGTTGATTGGATCTTGAAGCTCATTCGCTATACAGGGTGTTCCAGAGCTATGGGATCAAACTTGTAGGGGTTATTCAGTGTAACAGTAGAAAACATTTGAGTATAGGGAGCCATATCCGGAAAAGTGTCACTACGACACTACGGCCCTAAGACTAGTTAAAATTTATAAAGACGATGAATTGCCTGCGTAGGATTTAATGCATTTAATTTTTGCCTTTTGTGCATGATATCATCACAACAATTGTTCAAAACGTCTTCCTCCAACCTGAATGCACCGTTCCTGTGGGGACATGTAACGTCTTTCGTTTACGAAACTCCAGTAGAAACAGAGCAAGACTTATTCGGATGAATTACAGCAGCATTTGAAATCATTCAAAACGAGTATCAAATTTTTAGTCAAGTCCGCCGAAATCATGTGCGACGTTTAAATCGGTGTATTCAGGTTGGAGGAAGACATTTTGAACAACTGCTGTGAGGATATCATGTACGAAGGCAAAAATTAAAAGAATTAATTCCTATTTAGGCAATTCATCGTCTTTCTAAATTTTAACGCGTCTTAAGGCCATAGTGCCGTAGTGACACTTTTCCGGATATAATGGAAGATGCTTAGGTATGCATTTTTCAATTCCTCTGTGACCAGTACTCATCCGTCTTCTGTTAGATAAAGTCTTAATTTTAATCCGCCAGCCATGTCTCTTCAAGATTTACAACTTAAATTTAATGTAGCTAAGTATATGGTATCTGAATATTATGGAGGTTATAGAGATCTAAATTATTTTTTGGATAATTCAGAAAAGTTTATTGCAGGATCTGCCAATACACCTTTTGATTCATATGCTTTCCAATATGTCGTTTCTCAGCTAAAAAGTGAAGTAAGAGATTTAGTGCACCTAAATAGTTCGAGAACTTATTATTATCCAAGATCCAAGTAAAAAGTTCCTAGAAACGAAAAAACTCTTCTCACTGCTTTATACACTTCAGTTCAGAAACCTAACTAAAAATACAGACTTCTATCGAGATATTAAATTTAAACTACAGTGTCTCAAATATTTGCAAATTTAGAATATCTTGATAATTCTGACCATATTGCTTTAAAATTGAGACTACGATAGTCAGTCTTCAAGCGCAGTTACTTCTGGTTTAAATGAACTATATAGGTCCTATGTAAGACAGCAAAATTCTACTACGATTGATTCTTGTGTTCAATGTTGTCATGATTATAACAATTTGAAAATGCAAGAAGACTACAAAAATATATTAAGAACGAGTCTGAAGAGACCACAACAGCCTCAGCCGCAGACTAAAGTGCAAGTTCCAAATCAAAGTTTCCAAACGTTTAATTTTAATTTTTCCCTAAAGCCCAACCAGTTTAGAGTCCAAAATCGTCAAAGTTGGCTAGAGCCACAACAAACATTCCCAACAGGTCCTATGCAATTACCACCAGCAAGGCATAATTTTAAACCTCATTACCCTACGAACATTCAAGCCTTGAGACAGCCACAAAACCCATTCCACGTCAACAAAAATAAAGGTGGGTTCCAAATCAAATCATTATTCTATTGAAGAAATTCCTCCTGAAAATGAGGAAGAACAAACCTTTACAGAAACGCCACAATATGCATCTGAGGAATACACCTAAGACTTAGAATCAAACTATATCTCTGATGAATCCCTTTTCGAAAATAATGATGAGGAAGATTTTCTTTCGACGAGCCAGTCCCAAAATTTGACCTAGAGTTAAACAGTTACAAAAAAACTCATCCTCTGTATATTTTTAGTTCTCAATTTAATCTTATAATCTTCATCGATACTGGTGCATAATCCTCTCTGATCAATCCAAAAATTGCTTTTAACTATTTTCCAGATCCAGGTATGGTAATCCTTTTGAAATCGACTCATGTACGTCCAACTTTAAAGGGTCAATTTGTTTGTAAAATTCCCATATTTTCTGAATGGAAGAATAAACCTGAAATTGAATTTTCAAATCTTCCTCAAGTTATGATTGCTTATTAGGATTCTATGATTTACAATAGCTAAATTGGACTATTTATTTTACTAAACATTAGACTATTACTGACAAATGTAATATTACTCATAATACCAATTCGAGAAAACAATCCAGTCCAGTATGGTAACCCCAAAAATAGCATTAATTGTTCGAAATATGGATAACGGTTCTGTTCTTGTTCCACTGATGAAATTCAAAAATTCTGACGAATATTTTCCTGAGTGTATCTGCAACGTAGTAAATAATGTTACTCAATATCCGATTGAATCTGAATCTGAACCTCTCGATGATATTCTAATCGCAAAATAATCTCCTCAAAAGATGCGATGTACGTGGTGAAAAATTAATTCGTACGTCTCATATGAACCGTGAAGGGAAGGAAAATATTATTAAGCTCTGCAAGCAATTCAAACAACTATTTTTTAAGCCTAATGAACCATTAGCTCCTTCACTAATTAGATTGAAAAATGAAGACCCAGCTTATGTAAAAAATGTTCAATATCCTATCTCAAAAAAGAAATTCGAAACCAAGTTTCTAAATTATTGAATGATAGAGCTATTCGACAAAGCTATTCACCCTATCAATGACCCCGCTGGATAGTTTTTAAGAAAATGGATGCTTCCGGAGTAAAGAAATACAGAATGGTTATTGATTTCAGGAAATTGAATGAAATAATAACTGAACTTAACTATATTCATCCATTATTAATTACAAAAATGAGTTTCTGCCACTTGATAAACTGGATAATTTTGATTTTTTCTAATTATATGACCTAAGTGTTCTAATTGGTTTTCGAAGAAGAAATCATATTTCTTCGTCACATACCAATAGTTATTGGAAGCTTTATAGATTCCGGTATCTTCCTGTTATACAGCAAAATAATATTCTGGTATTAAAACACAAAGATATTGTTGAAAGTGAAACATTTTTGTGAATTTATGAATGCAAATCAATGACTATTAATAATAATAACTATTCTGACGGTACTATACTGATCCACGCCAGCTGTAACTTACTTAAGATTGAATATTGTGAATTCTTGAAAAAAAGGTACATTTTCAGAAATAATCGAATTAAAACATAATAGCTATTTGGTGAACACTAACAAGAATATTACAGTGCATGAATACTGTACCAGAGAAAGAAAAGAAATCGATTCCTCTTTTATTATCAGTTTTAAATACAAAACATTTATTGATCATGTTGCGTATTTGAAGACTTCTGATAGTTCGAAACCTTTGAATATACCTAACATGGAAGTGAATTATGATAAGAATTATACTTCGACGTCCAGTCCAAAGATGTTTATTATTTCACCACGTAGTCCGCCCTGTCGTATTACCAGCCACCAAAGTCAAATCAAAATCCCCTCTCATATTACGCTCGTGCCGCTGTATATGTTAGGATTAAGCACCGATTTCGGCCAATGGTCGAAAAAACGACCAGAACGCGTTCTGGCCACCAGCATACTGCCAATATCCGAAAAATCGCTTTCTGGTCATTTACGAGTAGTATAGATCAAAATGCGTTCTGGCTATCGTCATATTGCCAGAACGCGTCGAGCATACAAACAAAACGTCCAAAGGCATATTTAATATAAAAAAAGATATTTGATTGCTTATATAACAAGTATCAAAATAAAAAATAAATAAATAACTTCAGTTTTAACAGAAACAGAAAACATTTAGATACTATATAATAACTTGTGCTTTAGGGGTATCGGCGTACCTACATCTACTTATTTTTACACGAACCTATCCATGACACTAGTAGACATTCTTGCACGGCTTAACGAACAGGTTAACCAACGCGACGTACATCGACTACGCGATGATCATTTACTGCGAGTAGTAGACAGTAGGGTGGTTTAGATTCGATACAAGCTTAGACTCGTAGAAAATCGGGTTTTGGACGTTTTGTTTGTATGCTCGACGCGTTCTGGCAATATGACGATAGCCAGAACGCATTTTGATCTATACTAAACGGCCAGAAAGCGATTTTTCGGACATTGGCAATATGCTGGTGGCCAGAACGCGTTCTGGTCGTTTTTTTCGAGCATTGTCCGAAATCGGTGTTTGAACCTAACATATATACCGATATAGTTCCCTCCTACAGTGATTCGCCTTCTTGTACTTGACCAGCTCACATCGACGGCCAGCGCGTAAGAACAAACTCATTTTCTTTAATCGCTTTATCATTGCAGCTAAATATGAGAAAGGAGAAAAATCACGATATTCGTCTAGGAGCAGCTCCGATTTTGATAGGGAGAACTCAAAGCACTTTAAAAAACTGGAGATAGTTTATAAAAAAACATACACGGGATCGACATCGCCAGAGATCGCGTTCACGCGTTGAGCCGTTACCTCCGAGAGTACAAGGCCAAACAACTGGGCTGTAAAAACCCTGTGACGTCACGCAGAGTAAGCCTATGCATATTCCTATGGAGTTTCGCGATGCTGGCTGGCAAGAGAGCCGCGCCACCATTTCTCTGCGGTGTTGCCATATCTAGATTTCATATAGCAGTATCGAAATCTCTACTAATTAGTTGTACCTCCCTGTGGACGATTTTGCAAGATGTACTCTGGGCCTGCGCAGCTTCAGTGATGATGTGATTATTCTTTCTGACCTGCCTCAGTATGTCAAGAATACATTTTCGATATTACGTTCAATCTGTCACTTGTGAAGTCGAGCATAAAATTCAAAATTTTTTTTTTTGGCTTTAGGACTAAGCCATGCAGCTAGAAACTAGGTTGGTATATAGAATATATCTAATTATGGACAAACACACGACGTCACAACATCCATGGCGAAGGCGAGATTCGAACTCGCGGCTTGGCCGGCCGGCTGATCAGTAGCACGACACTCTGACCCACGCGGCCAACCCAGGTCCCCCAATTCAAAATTGGAATATGTGGCAACCTTGGTAACACCGCTAACATCCAACAGCCAACTAACCTCAAATTCTGAGCTTCTATTACGTATCTTTCTATGCATGTAAGCTGTAAATTATCGATGTTTTAAACTTATATTTGTGTCTCGCGACTGTTTAGCTTAGTTTTCAAAATGCCATACAAGTGTTGCGTTCCTGATTGTGCCGGTAATTACGGGAAGGGTCCGAAGTAAGACGTATTTTCGTTTCCATTGGATGAATACTGTCGTGAAAGATGGCTCAATGCAATCTCTCGCAGTGATTTAGTGTCTAAGGACAGCATCATTTGGGAACCCACCTTCCATGACGAAAAGACAGGTTTCCCTTAAGTATCCAAAATTAAAGGCAGATGTAATTCCAAGTATCTTTGCAAATTGTCCAAAATACCTTTCAAAGGATATATCAAGCTGAAGAGGCCGAGATGAGAAATTGAGGGACAAGGAACAAGAACTTAACACACTCACTGGCTGCCATGTGAAACACCGGTGATACACAGGCACGTTTTACTCGCCGGCTACGTGACTCCCATGCGTTTCACATGCAGTATACCTCTAAATTAGAGATATATCCGCTTGGCCTGTGAATTAAGTTTAACTACTTATACTGTGGCATACTGATAATATAGACAACTCATTGAGATATATAACATCACTGGTTGCCTACTTTTGTAGGGGAAATTTGCGACTGCACTTTTACTATATTCAGGTTGGTTCTTATACAGTTTTTGCGGTTTATGAGTTATGAGTGCACAGCTAAAAAGAGGGGAAATAGTGGGGAAGGAAAACATCACAGGACTCGTTATAGGTAAATGGAAGGACAAAAGGGATGTTCCGTTCTTGAGTACTAAGCACACGCTGGATATAAAGGCTACTGGGAAGAAAAACAGAAAGAGCGAGGAGATAAAGAAACCTTCTGCAATATTAGAATACAATGCTGGTATAGATGTTTGTGATCAAATGGCTAGCTACTTTTTCCCACTCCGAAAAATAATTAGATGGTATCATAAGCTACTGTTCGAAATTCTCCTGAATAAGGCTGTCATCAATTCTCTTATTATTCACAAGCACTTCAAAAGACAAAATATACAATTCGGTGCTTTTAGAGAAATGTTGATTGAGAGCCTTACTCAAGTCCCAAGTGTCCCAGTAAATGAAGATAAACATAGTACACAAGAAAGAACAGCAGACGGGAGAAAGAAAAGGAAGAGTTGCATTTCATGTTATGAGAAAAAGGCCAGAGAAGGAGGTCGGGTTGTAGGAATGAAACAAGCTAAATTGATCTCTACCAAGTGCGGGCAATGCAATATTTATTTGTTTTACTTGTTTTACTGAAAAACATTATTTTTATTTTCTATTCCTTCTGTGATCACCGGTGATACAGATGGCACTGGAGAAATACCGATTAATCTAGATGCCATGTGTATCACCGGTGATTTTAAGTTTTTGCAGAAAAAACATCTTTTTTGAGTTGTTTATACGTTTTTTATGTCAATAAAGCTTTCGTAACCATGCTTTTGTGATAATTTAGGTTTGGCCTCTAATAAATGAAAATGACCCCTTATGGGGGCAGCGAAAGTGATAAAGCACTGCAATGTAGCATTGATGATTATTCCTCCTATCAAAAACAACAAGTTTCCAAAACTATTTAGACTTTCTCATAGTTTTCAGTTCATGGCAATGTCCATATGGGTGGCATAGAATTGTTCAGGATAAAGTTACCTTGTTTAAGTTAGAATATAAACCAGCACCCATAATAACTCACTCTGTAATTGTTGATAAAGATCTCAATGTAAAAACGTATATGTTCTCCCAAGAATTGTCACTGAACTCGGCTAATATTAAAACTCCATTTTTATTATCTAATATACACCACTTGGATGATAATCTGAATGTTATTTCTGAGAATGTAGATGCTTCGAGAGAATATTCAGGTAAAGACCAGTTCAGAGCTACTATCAACCATGCTTACAATATTTTAAATAGCACAGAACTATTCACCGATGAAGAGACACACACTGTCACTAAATTTATTTGTGAAGAACTAAAGCTTGTTATTATTCAGAAGAACAGACACAGTTACTCATCAGAAATAATAGTGTTTTGCTCTATGTTGTATAAAATCAGTCCACAGTCTTATAGATTTATTAGGAGCCATGGAGCACTTATTTTACCACACCAAAAAAATTTGTAATACATTGATGGTCGATCCAGTTCCCGATGAGAGATATAACTTTTTAGGCTATGCAAAGAACCTGTTCAGATTTGTAAAACCTAGTGAGGAGAACATGATTTTATTGATGGATGAAATACACATTCAGCCATATTTAGATTTCAAAGGGGGTAATATTGTTGGAACGTCAATTAATATTTCTTCATTAGCTCTATGTGTTTGTGATTTCAAGCTTCTATTCTAATTTCAAAGAAGTTGTTCAGATCTGCCCTGTTCATAAAATTTATCATATACAATATTACAAAAAAGTTATTATTGGATTACAAGAACTACGTTACAAAATTTTTTGTGTTGTAAGTGATAATAACGCACTAAATAGTAAAGCGATGGCACATTTTTCTCCAGATAATAAAGCAAGCATTGTTTGTCCGCATCCGTTGGAAAAAAGGTCCCCTATTCTTCCTTTTTGATACAGTGCACCTTCTAAAACGTATCCGCAATAATTGGATGAAATCAAAACCAGAACAAATTTTAAAATACAGAGATTTTAAAACACATGAGGTAAATGTTGCTTCATTTAAATCTCTTAAAACATTGTGCCAAATGGAGAGTCATAAAATATTTAAACATGGTTATGGTTTGACCCCAAAAGCTTTATATCATACCAACCTTGAAAGATAAAATGTTCATTTAGCTCTCAGGATATTCAACCCATTTGTAATAGATGCAGTATCAAGCTTTGGTAAAAACATACACATACAGCACTCCGAAGAGACAGCAAAATTCATTGATATTATATGGTAGTGGTGGAGAATTGTCAATGTAAAAAGTCTATTGAAATGACAGCGGTTTAATGACCTTCATGCAGAGCCTACTGTTTGCTCCAATAGTGATGGTCAAAGTGATGACAGTAAGCTGACATTCTTTCAAGAAATGCTAGATTCGCTAATTTTTTTTATTATTTTGTGCTGTTATTTGTTTGTTCTAAGAGTTTTTATTAAGTTTTCGTTAATCTTTGTTATGTTTTTCCTGTTGTTTATTTTACTTTGATTTTATCTGTTTTTCTTATCATGTATCCTACACTTTTTCCTCTTCATCTTCCTTATTCCTTTCCTGGCAAGAGCTTACCTCAGACCTCCTCATTGGTTCTTGCTGGACACAACTGTTCAACAAGCACTACATTTTTTATATAATTTTCAAGTACCATTATATACCTATAATAATAGTAAATTTTCCACATATTCCTGTGAAATTTTGTTGATCGGTTGTGACTCATTTTTCCAAACATCTTCATTCGTCCTTGGTTTGGACTATCACAAGCAAGGTCCACGTTGCTATCTCATGCAACCGAGTCCAATGATTCAGCGTTATCCTAAATGTCTTTGTTCGCCTAGGTATGGAGTTGGCTATCACAAGCTAGGTCCAGGTTGCTATCCCAAGCAACAGTGTCAGAATGTTATCCCAAATGTCATGTTAGTCACAATTTGCCGCGCCGGTGAGGCATCCATACTAATATTGATTCAACTTGCACCTAAAATAGATCGGTTAGTTGACAGTTACCTGATGGTGACGCCCTTTCAGAAAAAGAGGCCTGCACGCCACTTTCTAATTTTTGTCCGCGACGACATGAACCTTCAGGCGACCGTCGGTCGGTGTCTCGTTCGACAATGCACATCCATCGGTCAGCCTTCTGTCTTGTTTTCTAATTGTAAATGTTCAGCGGATCCTCGACACTGCACTGCACGTAAACGATGCGCGCCGGTTAACGTGTGGGGCACGAGAACAAGGAATGAAGAGAGGGGAGAAAGGTAGGGGGAAGGGGCGTGGCGCCGCTTTCCTCCTCTGCGAGCGCGCTTTGAAATCGTGGCGGTTGGGTACTATTACGAGGGTACTACGATATGTATTCTAAATATTTGCTTCGACGAGGACTTAACATAATTAAGATCGGACATCATTTACAGGTAAGTTCGTTTGATCATGTAATTATCGTCTTGTACTTAACTAAAGGGCTATAGTTTTGAATGAAGGTAAGTAGTATGGCTAGTTTTAGCATCTGCCATATTAACGTAAGATCCCGTATGCACAAGATTGAGACTCTGTTATAGCTCTTGCAAGTTACAAACTATATCAGCGTGACTGAGAAGGCAGGCGAGGAGGTGAAGCTGTTTATATACGTAGCAATTGGAGAAGTACAATTATACATACCGATACCGCGGATGAGTAATTTTGTGTCTGAGAGGTGAGAAACATGCTCTTTCCTAGCTGTCTTGTGCTCGATTTCCTCGAAATATTAGACGAAATAGTCTCAAATCTCTATCAAATGTATGAAAGCATTATTTTTACGGGTGATCTTAATATAGGATTTTTTGAGTAGTGACGGTCAGTCTACTTTATGATTGAGTGGTAAGATGGAAACATATGACTTAGTGCAAATGGTTGACGAGCATTACACAAACAAGTGTAAAAATGATTAACTTGATGATATGTAGTAATTCATTGAAAGTTGGTGATAAAGCTGTTTTTAACTTTTTCTGATCACTGTCTAGTCGGTTGTCATATTGGCTACAAGAAAGAAACGTCAAAATCCAAATTTTACTAATATCGCGAGGAATTTTGACAAGAACCGTTTTGTTCGTGATTTGGTTGGTTTTGATTTCCCATGTTATACTGCTCTAACGACATAAACTTTAAACTTGGTTTGTTTAATCATATGGAAAAATATGCACCTGTAAGAACTGTAAACAGCACTATACCAAAAGCACCATGGCTGACAAGTAACCTGAAATTTATGATTTCCTTACGCGACAAAGTGCTAACAAAATTCAAAATTCACAGGAAACCACATCAATTTGCTTACCACAAAGAACTGAAAAATCTTATCATTAAAACTGACACCCTTGAAAAAAATTCTTATATAGAATATAAAATTAAGAATAGTCGGAGTAAGTCTCTGTGGTAGGATCTTCAACATACTGAGATGTATACCAGTTGTTTTTATCGTATCACCTAACGAATGTTAATGAAATAATAAAATAATTTGATTCCGGAGTTGTGGAAGATGGCAAGAATTACTCCGTACGGGTATTATGTAAAAAACCTCTAAAACGTCAAAAAAAACCTACGCAATGCCATCTTGCAGACTAGGTAGTTTTTAGGGTGCAAACAGTCATTCCGCGTTTGCTCACTAGAATCGTTGTGAGAGTCCATCTATGAAAGAATGAGTCAACTACACACATTGTTGGTTGCATATGTTTTGTGTAGTCCGTAGTTCTCATCTCTGAGAAGTTGTGAAACAAATAAACTTGGTTGAATAGCAAGATCGCATCTAGATGATTATGTGTACTGGTCTAGAAAGGTATAAAATAAATAATATTCACTGTGTATTACTAAATATGCTGCCGATCAAGTATATCTATTAGCTGTGCCCGACGGGTTACTTATATGTTGTCCTTTCTGAAGACAGGTTATGTTCAAAGTTATAAATTACGATTTTTCCCGTTTTTTGTGTTTTCAAAAGGTTTGAGGAATACTACGGGAAATCGCTGCCGCACCCGCGTTATGTGCAATTAAGCCACATCACAGAAAAATTTGCAATGACGCAAACATTTTCGCAATGCCTCACATCTAGGCGCTGATTTGTATTTTTTATTGACATCGCAAAAGTTGTATAAAATATAAATGTAATAACATTTCCACTTAATATTTCTGTCTGTAGCATATTTTCTCACAACTTCCTTTACCAACCAGATATTTTCTTTTCTTATCTTTCTCTTTCTCTTTCTCAAACTCAGCAAATCTGAATATGCAATTTCCAGAATGAATAAGAAAAAGTGTATACGCAGCTAATTTCTAGCTTTGAATCTCAAGTAAGTGTATTTGAGACAAGGCTGGGAGCGCTTCAATGAACTAAAATTAAAAAATTAACACTCACCCTCACCATTGGGATCTCAGAGACTGTAAAAGATACAAAGTCGCTTGCTTCACGTTTGCTAACTAGAATCGCTGTCAGCGTCCATCTTTGGAAAGATAGCTCAACTACACGCACTGTTTGTTGCATATGCTTCGTGAATCTGAGTAGTATAGTTTTCATCTCTGGGAAGAAAGTTGGTTGAATAGCAAGATCGCATTTGCATGATTGTGTATTCCTCTGCATGTGTGTAAA